AGAGCTACTTTTCCCAGCATTTATTTATTTTATTGTGATTTGGGTGAAAGTTTACAGAGCAACTTCACTTTCTGTACAGCAGTTCACATACATTTTGTCTCATGACATTGACTATAATTTACCACAATGCAACAGCTTTCCTCCCACTTCTTTCCCATAGTTACCTCTTCCGTGTGTCCTTCGCTCCATATACTCCTGTCCCTGAGCTATGTCCCTGTGCATACATAGCCCTTCTATTCTCCTGATTGTTCTCTCCCAGGAGTGTATCTCCCTAGTGTAAATGTTCACCTCAGATGCCTGCCTTTTGTTTGTCTGGAAGCCACAGGTGTAAGTTTAATTCCAGACCTGAAGGGCAGCTAGGGGCCATAGTCTCAGTGGTTCCACCCGGCTCTATCAGACAGCAAACCTGGTCCCTTTTCTTTTTCAAATGATTTTAAGTTTTATTTCTCATTATTCTTCCACTCTATCCCAGGATCTCCTACATAGATCCCCCTCCAAGTGGTTGACAGTGGTAGCCAGCCACCATCTAGTTCTTCTGGTCTCATAGTTGTATAGGCTGAGGATCATATGGTGTACCAGTCTCTTGGACTCATTGTTTCCATAAATCTTTGGTTCATTCTTCTTTTTAAGTATGCATTTGTTGCTATAAATTACCTTTTGAGTACTGGTTTTGCTGTGTGCAGAAGATATTGGCATGTTGTATTTTCATTCTTATTTGATCCAAGAAATTTTTTAAATTTCAGTTTTCTCTTACCCAGTACTTTTTAAGCAGGGTGTTATTCAGTTTCCATGTGTTACCCTTGATCTCTTATGGCTGATACCTAATTTTATAGCATGTGATCTGAGAAGATGCTTTGCAGTATTTCTGTGTTTATAAATTTATTGAGGCTTGCTTTGTGTTCTAATTTGGAGAATGCTCCACATGCACTGGAAAAGAATGTATATTGTGATGATATTGGGTGATGTACTCCATATATGTCTATAAGGTCAAGTTGGTTGATTGTATTGTGTAGTTCTCCTGTGACTTTGTTGAGTTATTGTCTAGTTACTCTGTCCTTCCTTGAAAGTGGTGTATTAAAGTCTCTTACTATTACTGTGGAGTTGTCTTTTTTTTTTTTATGTTAAAGTTTGATTTATATATTTTGGGTCTCTTTCATTGGGTGCTTACATAATTATTATGGTTGTGTCTGCTTGTCTGATTGACACATTAATCATTATGTAATGTCCATCCTTGTCTTTTATAGTGTTTTTTCCTTAAAGTCTGTAACCAGAAATTAATATTGCCACTCGTGCTCTTTTTTGATTGCTGTTTGCTTGATTGCTTTTCCCCCAACTTCTGATAGTCTATTTTTGTCTTTGTGTCCAAGGTATGTGTCTTATAGACAGTATAATAGGTCACATTTTCTTATCCATTCTGCAACTCTCTGTCTTTTGATTGATGCATTTAATCCATTTCCATTCAGCGTAATTATCGATAAGTATGAATTTATTGCTTTTGTTTTGCTATGTGATTTTTTTGTGATGTTGCTGATTTCGAGCTCTGGTAGCATAGTGCCTAAGGCATTTGACTGCTAACCAGAAGGCCTTCCAGCTGCTCCTCAGAAGGAAGATTGGGCAATCTACTTCTGTAGAATTACCAACTCAGAAACCCAGGGAGGGGTTGCTATGAGTTGGATCCAATTTGATGGCAGTGTGTTTGGTTTTTGGTTTTATATAGTTTTCTGTGCCGAACTCATTTTCTTTACAAAATTGTTATTTTATTTTATTTTTTTCAGTTCATTCATTGCTATTGTTTTATATTTGGTAAATATTGGTGCTTTTCCTTTTTTTATAAGAAGGTTTATTAATTTTCTTTGTGATTACTCTGTGGTTTATTGTTTTCAGTATTAAAACAGACTGTTCTATCTTAAAATCATTGGGTGCTTAGATAGTTATTATCATAATATCTTCTTGGTCAGTTGATCCTTTCAGCATCATGTGGTGATCTTCTTTGTCTCTTACGTTGTTTTTCACCTTAAAAGTCTATTTTGTCAGAAATTAGTATTGCCACTCCTGTTTTTTTTTGGTGTTTTTTTTTTCCCCTGGGTTACTGTCGGCTTTGTATATTTTTTCCACCCCTTAACTCTTAGTTGGGAGCTCTGATAGCATAGTGCCTAAGGCACTTGACTGCTAACCAGAAGGCTGATGGTTCAAACCCACCAGCCACGGGGCAATCTACTTCCGTAGTGATACTGCTTCTGAAACCCAAGGAGGGGTCGCTGAGTCGGGTCCGACTCAACGGCACATAACAAAAACAACAACAACAACTCTTAAGTTTGTTTTTATCTTTATGTTTTGTAGTCAGCATATTGATGGTCTTCTTTTCTTATCCAGTCTGCCACTCTCTTTCTCTTGTTTAGTGCATTTAGTCCATTCACACTGAGTGTAATTAGTGATGGGTATGAATTGACTGCTGTCATTTATCGTGTTTTTTTTTTTTTTTGTCATGTTGTTAGAGTTTCCTTGGTCCTTATACTTTTCAGTGCTGAGTTCATTTTGTTGTCAAGTGTATCCTCTCTTTTCTTCTTTATTGTTGGTTTTGTGCTTACTAAACCTGTATGTTTTCCTTCCTTCTGGGTTTGCTTAGGGGGATTGTGAATTTTCTATGTGGTTACCTTGGAGTGAATTCTTGTCTCTGTGTTTTTGGAACAGTCTGTTCTATGAGGACATTGACCTCTTTTCCTCTCCATTTGAAAGTTTGTACCTAGAGCTTTTATTCCCTCTATTTGGTTAGTGGCTATTGTCATGTACAGATTGACTTCCTTGTTTTTTAGTGTATCATGTTTTATGGTCTTATTTTGAGCGTCTATTTCTGACTTGGTTTTAGTGTTAATGTCATGGGCCCTGATTTTGTTGTTCTCTGTTGTGGGTTGTCTATTGGAAGGACTCTCTTAAGCATTCTTGTAGGGTTGGTCTGGTTTTCGCAAAATCCCTTAATTTCTGTTTGTCTGAGAATGTCTTGATTTGCCCTCATCTTTGATGGACAGTTTGGCTGGGTATAGGATCCTTGGTTGGAAGTTCTTTTCCTTCAGTGTTTTATATATGCTGTCCATTACCTTCTTGCCTGTGTGGTTTCTGCATGGTAACCAGAACTCAGCCTAACTGTTTGATTTTTGTAAGTAATATATCTTTTGTCCTGGGCAGCTTGCAAGAATCTTTCTTTGTCTTTTATTTTGGAGAGTTTGATTATGATATGTCTTGGTGTTTTTCTCTTGGGATCGATCCTGTATGGAGTTCTTTGAGTTTCTTGGACAAATATCTTTTCTTCCTTCATGTTATGGGGGAAATTTTCTGGTAGTACCTCTTCCACCATTTTCCTCATGTTTTTTTCCACCTCTTCTTGTTCTGGAATTCCCGTGAGGCATATGTTGTTTCTTTTCATGTCATCCCATATAATTCTTAGGTCCTCTTCATTTCTCTTAAATCTTTGATCTGGTTTTTCCTCATACAGGCTGTTGTGAAGGGATTTATCTTCTAGTTGGGAAATGCATTCTTCAGCTAGTTCTAGCCTATTCTGTGTGCTTCCACTCTGTGGTGTAATTCTGTAATTTTGCTATTCATCTGGATTTCTAACTGCTATTTTTGTATGAGTTCTAATTGTGTATTAATCTTATCATTTTGTTCTCGAATGGTTTTCCTGTGTTCTCCTTGATTCTTTTTGGGGTTTCCTTGAGCTTTTGTAGAGTCCTATAAACATACCTTCTAAATTCCTTGCCGGATAATTCTATTGCCTCGCCTTCCTCCCTGTTTAATGAGACTTTTGTTTGTGATTTTATTTCTGTTGTCTTATCCTGTATTTTTGTTTGTTTGTTTGTTTGGCTTGAGGTTACCTGTTGTTTCCTAGACATTTTGAAGTTGTCTTCAACTGTTAGTTATGTATTGATTTGTTTTGTCTTGATTTTATGACTTAATATTTTTACAAAGGTGGAGCTGATGTATTTTTGTTGTTATTAATTCAGGGGTACTGGGTTTCTCTGCAGTTTTCTTTGTGATGATGGAATCACTGCATGGAATGTAGATGCAGGTCTGTGTTCATCATGAAGTGGGTTTAGGATTGGAGCCGGCAGGTGTTGTGGTGCCTTAATGAGGTTTTTCTATTGGATGAGGCAGGGGAGAGGAGGGGAAAGGAGGAAGAAAAGAGAAAAAAGCTCCAAGACATCAGTAGCCATTTCCAGGACTTTGCGTAGACTGCTAATGATGATGTTATACTGTTACTCACAGCCCTGTAGCTCAAGTTAGGCAAAGACTCCAATGGTTAGAGGCTGCCACTTTCCACCAGGTTCAAACAGCTGCAAAAACCTTGTACTCCAGACCCCTCCATACCAAAAAGCCGTCCTGGAATAGCTGCCCTGACCTGTACTGTGAGTTTGTCCCAGGGCCTGGCCACTTACGGTGTGCTTCCCTCTCTGCTCCCAGTTTGGTGGTACCCGGACCCAGAGGAACCTCTGCTCCCTCCCAGTGGTCCCAAGTTTACCGATAAAAGGGATGCTGAAGGTAGATCCGTGGAGTGGCCGCAGGTCCTCTGGTACGTCCTTTCCACTGCCACAGGGAGCCCTCTGATGTCCTATGTCACTGGCCATTCGGTGCCCCCCAGGGCAGGTTCGCCTGTTTTTATTCTTTCTGGGTGCCTAAACTTCCTCTCCCTCCTTTCTAATCCTACTCCCCTGAGTTTGGCGTTCTCTGACTTAACAAGTTGTTCAGAGCACCAGAATCTCCACCTCAAACTGCTGCACCTAATTTTTCAGGCACTAAGATGTTAGAGGGAACTAATATATGGGCTTCATGTAAGACTCCATCTTCCTGTCTCAGTTTTGACCAAAGTCTTAATCCTGCTTTATGTGTCCAGGAGGGTTGAAGGTACGTGACTCAGCACCAGTTGGCAACAGTTTATCATGATATTGAAATAGGTTATTTTTTGGAAACTTCAGTTTCATAAGCAAAATAGTTAAGAGAGGTCCGACATGAACATAACCTTGGAAGTTAAGAAAAATGTCATATCACTGCAGAAGACCACAAATACACCTTTTAATAATCAGATATTATGTAAAGTTTATGGGATAAATACTAAAAGGTAATAGTGGAAATGTTAATGTCTTAGAAAAAAAGACTTGGGTACAGCAGTATTAAGTATATTGTGACAAAATATATCCACGAAGAGAGATTCTTTTAATTGTATTTTAAGGTTCCATATTAAGTGTATATTCCATAAATGCATATATTTTTGTCCTTTAACTTTTTAAGTGGTTTCTGTTCTTTTTAATAGCAATAGAGTATTTTTTAGAACAGTTTAAGGTTTATAGAAAAATTAAGCAGATAGTACAGAATTCACATATATAGTATGGTTGTTATAATTGATGAACCAATACCAACACATTATTAACTAGAGTTCATAGTTTATATTAGCATTTACTCTGTGTTCTGCAGTTCTAGGGATATTACCACGTGTCTACCATTACAGTGTCATATAGAATAGTTTCTCTATCCTATAAATCCTCACCTGTTTAAATCCTCTGTCCCTGAGCCCCTGGAAACTATTTTAATTTTTCTTTTCTCTCTCTCTCTCTCTCTCTGCTATGCATTACAATGCATTAAGAACTTTTCTATCCACTAGTTAAATAAAACTTTGTCCCAGCATGTTTTACAGAGCTAGTTTGGAATTGTATGGTCATTAAAACTCTACATTCTGCCCCATACCTTAGCTTTCCTTTCTATAATATTTAGAATTTTCTTTAGTCAGATTTAAAAGAAAATTATTTTTCTAAGTACAAACTAGCTTTTTTTTTTTGATGGGATATGTTTACTTTTTCAAAGAAATATCATGCTGTGGAAAAGTAGAATTTCAGGTGTATAATTTTTGTTAAACTTATTTATTCTTGGGATACAATCACTGAATAGACTATAAAAAATATACTGAAAAGCTTAGCTTGCACTGAAGACATAAAGTTTTATATCCACATGTTTTTAACATGCAAGTATCTGCAGTTGTCTGTCACTTAAAGTAGTTAAATAAAGCTACTTTTCTGCTTTTCTCTCTCTTGTTCACTTTTTGCTTTTTACCAGTGAACAGCTCTGTGCTTTTTGTTACTGTGGTGAAAAAAGTTCCTTAGGACAAGGAGACTTAAGACAATTCAGAGTTTCGCCTGGATTTATCTTGCCATGGAAAAACCAACCTTCTAACAAGAAGGACATTGATGACAACAGCAGTGCATCCTGTGAGAAAATACAAAACTCAGCACCACGAAAACAAAGAGGACAGAGAAAGTAAGCAATTTTGAATTTAAATTGTTGGCTGAAACAACAGCTATATATAATTTATTTTCATTACAATGTTTATAAGTATGTAACTGGTATTACTGTTAAACAATTTCTCATGTTGTCAACATGTGTAGAATACTTTATGACTCAACACTAGCCCAACACACACTGCTTTCCTCAAAATTTCTTTTATTTAAAGAAACATTTATTTTAATTGTATGTTATTGGAATCAATGTGTATAACTTTTGAAACAAAAATTTAAAGAGTATAATATAAACTGAGAGGGAGTTCATGGAGTTTATATAGAAATGAGAAGAAGGTAAGATGGATTAATGAAGTCCTCTTTTCTTCCTCTAAGTTTTTATTTGTTTCTAACTCAGTAGCAAATCTAAAACTATTTTTTCACTTCCCATCTACTTTATGTGTCTTCTTTTTTAATGGTTCAGAAAATGTTCATCAGTCCTATAAAATTTAATCATAATATGGTGTTAGCTTGCTTGCTTTTTTTTCTTTCTCTCTCTCGTTTTAGAGTGCCATTTCTAAACTTAAAGAAGATGCTTATTTTAAAATAAATAAAATAATTGCCTAAGATATCCATATAACTAAATACATACTAGAGTTATCTAAAACTCTTGTCTAATGTAGTTGCTTTCTGAACTTAATCTTTTTTTAAAAAAAAAATATGCTTACAGTTTGTTTAAAGGCCACCTGAATACATGAACTTGGCTTTGCTGGCTATTGAAGTAGAAGTTTCTGTAATGGATGAGAAAGTGAAAAAATTAGTTTAGCTTGGAAGCTAACCATCTTTACCCCTTGAGGGTGATGATGTAATCATCCAAGTGCTTATCTGGGTTGTATCCAAATTTAAGTACTGAAGCATTGTTGCATTGTTATACTTATTTGATTGGCTCCTTGTTTTGGACTGCTGCCACTGCTTTGAAGACCTGAAGTAGGAAAGGACACAATAACAAGAAAGAGGATCTTTTAAAAAAAAAAATTAAGGTGGAACATTTTAAGGAGGCCTAGAAATATTGTATTGAGGGAGTGTTGATATTTTGGAGGCTATAGCTAGATCAAGGAGCTCTGGTGGCACAGTGCCTAAAGCATTTGATGGCTAACCAGAAGGCTAGGAGTTCAAACCCACCAGCCACTCCATGGAAGGAAGCCTGAGAAATCAACTTCTGTAAAGATTTACTGCCTTGGAAACCCAAAGTGGGTCACTGTGAGTGGGCAGTGAATTTGGTTTTTATAGCTAGATCATAGAAGAGCTTTACCTTTTTGGTACCAATTGAGCACTCACAACTTAATAAAATATATCAAAAGTCAGCAGACTTACAATGTCCATCAGTAATTAACAAATTTAATGGACGTTGTGCTCTGTTTTGATTAAAGGCAATTATATTATGAACCTATTTTGAGAAATACAATTGGGTTTTATTTTCTTATTTTATAAGCTAAGTGAATTTTTAGTGAAAAACTTTCATGGGCTAAGATAACTACATAAAAATAGCCTTGGTTTAATCTGGTAGTGTAGTGAATAAGGTGCTTGACTGCAAACTGGAAGGTTAATGGTTCAAACCCACCAGTTGCTGTGCGGAAGGAAGACAGGGCAATCTGCTGCTGTAAAGATTTACAGCCTCAGAAACCCAATGGAAGTCGCTGTGAGTCGGAAATGACTCAATGGCAGTGAGTTTGGTTTGGTTTTGGTTAATGTTTACCAAATTAATGACAACAAGCCAGTTAATGAGCCTTAGGCATGATGTACATTTACAAAATTTTGGAACTCATTTACTTTAGGTTGGTAATGATTGCAAAATATGTTTCTAATAAATTATAAAATAGATAGAGTCAGTTTTTCTTTCATTTCAAAAGGAGGTTTTAAAAATAGTTTTCCCTTCTCAGCAGTAATAAGTATAAGACTATACAATCAGTTCTTTTCCTGTTTCCTTTTATTTTATAACTTGGAATTTGGGAGGTTTATATTTTAACTAGGAGCTCTTGTGGCTTAGTGCCTAAGGCATGTGACTGCTAACCAGAAGGCTGGCAGTTCAAACCCACCAGCTACTCCTTGGAAGAAAGGCTGGGCAATCTACTTCCATAGTGATACCCTTTGGAAACCTTCAAGGAGGGGTTGCTATGAGTCAGATCCGACTCAATGGCAGTGCATTTGGTTTGTGGTTTATATTTTAGCTAAACTGGGCTGCTGTCCTTCTTAGGATTGACATTAACATCTTAATGATTGTTGTTGTTGTTGTTATGTGCCGTCCAGTCCGCCCAGACTCATAGCGACCCCTCCTTGGGTTTCCAAGGCAGTATCACTACAGAAGTAGGATTGCCCAACCTTCCTTCCGAGGAGTGGCTGGTGGGTTTGAACCACCAGCCTTCTGGTTAGCAGTCAAGTGCCTTAGGCACTATGCTACAAGAGCTCCTATCTTAATGATACAGTGCATATAATCTGAAGATTGAATTTGTCAAGCTGCTGGTTAGGAACTGGTTAGTAATATACTGGTTGGTCATTCCCTTGATACTTAGCACTTCCATCCATTAAATACTGGTTCAGAGAAAATATGTTAAAATACCTTAGTTTTTAAATGTGGAGTGAAAGGTTTTTTTTTTTTTTCTCCTAATAAAATAACGAAGCTTAGTTATGTAGATATATCTGTAAGAATAGAAGTCATAGGAAAGCATTTGCTTTCATTATACTGTGGTCATTTATAAAATCCAGAATTAGAAGATAGCATAGCATGCTAAGCCTTTTTAAATAGTGGCTATTTTTGCATTTCTAATGCTGAGCATAAAAATAATTACTGATTATTTTTATATAGTTTGATATTTAAATGTACTTATTGAAATATGTTAATACTTCTTTTCTTTCAATGATTCCAGGTATAAAAAAGTTTAGTACCCTGGTCATTGTGCTGATTTTCTCTTAATAGGAATCATGATATATATCCAGCATACAGAAGTGCAGTGAGTTATGATCTACATTCAATAGTGATTTAATCCAGAATTATGATGAGGTTAAATACTATGATGTTAGGAGAAGTTAAAGTTTCAGTGGCAGTCATCTGATTTCCCGTATTTGATGTTAAACACAATAGTAATGCTTGTTTACTTAATGATCTCAGATAATACCTGAACTTTTAAGGCCCTGAAAGTCTGAAATCTCCCATTTGTTGTATACTTTATTCAACATTTATTTTTATTCTATAGTTTTTGCTGTTATGCTATCTTTCTTATTCCCTGTGCTGTTAGTAGCTATTTTGTTTTTGCATTTTACTTCTGATATGTGAAGTTAAATCTTAATTGAAAGTATGTGAAACGTCATGCCACAAACCAGTTGTGAGCTTTGTCAAGGGGACCATAAAAAAGCCATAGCTGACATGTTCCACTCCCTCTGCTTCTCTCCTCGCATTTTGTAGTGGGTTTTCATTTCCCCTGGGAAGTAATCTTTCTTTACATAAAATAAACTGCCAGCTCCGTTTTTGTGGTCCTCATTTAAAATAAAACAAATTTAAAATTTCTGATTTGATCAACCTGTGTTTTATAAGCATTTAAGTAAGGCTAAAGGGAATATTCCTTTTATGTGATACAAATGGTTCCTGACAAGAAATATAAGGGTGTGAGGTTTTTTTAAACATTTATATCATAGAATGGCAAAATAAATATGCAGTTGTAACTTTTAACACTTTCTTCTGGGTCTGTAGATTTAATTTTTTTCTAGTTGCTTACATGATACAGCAACCTAGTATTATATTGTACTATGAATAGTAACAAATGAATTCTAAAAGTTGTTTTTTGTCAGTTTATGCCTAATAAATTAAAAGTGTTGCAGCAATACATCATGTATAACATTTTATAAGAGAAAAAATATTTCTGCTTGCTATCACTCTCACATCTATTTCATTTGTTTGTATTTTTTCAGAGAACGATCTCCTCAGCAGAATATAATATGTGTAAGTGTAAGCACCCAAACTGCTTCAGACGATCAGGCTGGTAAATTATGGGATGAACTCAGTCTGGTTGGCCTTCCAGATGCCATTGATGTCCAGGCCTTATTTGATTCTACAGGTAACATTATCAAATAGGCCTTTAATATTAATTACCTTTTGATTTTTGCAAGCATTTTATGATTTTGGTGAATTATCAACTTAATAGTAAATACCTATCTTCTAGAATAATTATCACATTATAAGAATGTCATTGTTAAGAATGCTTGGTATGAATTGAAATCAATTTGAAGGCAACTAATTGCCAAAAAAAATTTCTTTAGCATCTGGACAGTGAAAACATTGGATTGGATGCTTTTGCAAATATGTACATTTACTCTTGAGTAGATAGTAGTACCATGGTCTGACAAATGAGAAAAGAGAAAATCATAAAGAGATATGTGAAAACTCAGAGAAAGAATACAGCAGTCTGGGTCTATTGAATGTAGACGTGAAAGACATAGCCACACAAGTACCCTACTATAAAAATATAGTAACTCACACTTGTGACATGGGCTGTGGGGTGTTAAGGTAATTCATTGTACAGAACTGGAGATTGATTGATAGTAGTTCAAGTGCTATATGATGGAGAATTTAAAGACTGAAATGTTATTAATTACGGATTTGTGCTGTTGTTATGAGTAGATTTGCCATATGTTTCCTTTATTATCCACAAAGTATTAAGTACTTTCCTGTATGTTTTATGTAAAGATATCAAATATATCTTACAGTGATATTAGAATAAAATGACTGTAACTTAATTTTGCTTGTTAAAGAAATCACCTTTGGTTATCTGGATATTTTGCTCTTTCATAATACTTCATTTTCTAATTCAATAATTATTATGCTTTTGCTTGCATCAGAATCACCTGTAAGCCTTCTTAAAGCATAGATTACTGGGCCCTACTCAAGAGTTTTTGATTTAGTAGATTTCATTTGGGACCTGAAATTTTCTAATGAGTTTCCAGGTGGTATTGATGCTGTCTGTGTAGGGGCTAGACCACATTTTGAGAAGTAATGATTTAATGGTATCACAAGTACAGTGGTCCCTGACTTAACTACATATTCAAGTTATGAGGGACCACATTTAAGACCATCTTTTGTGTGTGTGTGTGTGTGCGAATGTGTGTATATCTAATTGTTAGTAATATGTACTATATACATCTCATTGTTACTAACATGTACTACATACATCTTATCATTAGTAATATGTACTACATACAACGTTGCAGCACGTAATTTGCTGATGTTATCATTTTTAAATGTTTACTTATGGATGTTCATTGTTATGATTTACTGTTCAAAGCACAGGCTATGGCCTGGTCTGCAGTAAAGTCAGTGCCAGGAGTTGTAATGAATAGATGATTGAGCAGTGTTCAACTCTGATGACATATAATAGGTGAACTGTGCACAAGCCTACCAGTTGTTACAACTCTGACTTTATTGTATGATACCAATACCAATTTCATTGTAGACCAGCCTGTAGTGTGAGCTTATTTAGTGTTTTGTACCATCAGAAGCATCAGTTGTTAATTTGAAGCTGAGTTGTTCAAGTTTGTTACACTGTAATGCTTGCCTTGCTTATACCTCCAATAATATATCTAACAAAAGAAGCCATGCAACTAAATTCTAATCCAAAACAGAAGGTAAGGAAAGCTCTAGACAGGGATATAAAGATGAAGATCATTAAGGCCTATGATAATGGGGAAAAGGTCAATGAAATAGCATGTGAGGAGAAGGATTGTCTCTTTTGACCATTTTGACAATCATTAAGGATAATAATAGGATTTTAGAAGCAGTTAAAGGAGTGATTGGCATAAAATTGAAAATTCTAACAGAGAAGGAAAGGGCCAGTCCATAATATAGAGAAGCTGTTAATGATTTGGGTAGAAGACCAGATCTGGAAGAGGATTCTTAAGAGTTTACAGATAATTCAAATGAAAGCATATAGTCTTTTTGAAAACCTGAAGAAACAGCAAAGAGAAGACTCCCATAATCACTTTAATGTCACCAAGGGCTGGTCTCTACGGCCAGATCACTTCAAGTACAGATTTGGCTTATATAAAGTGCGTGTTACTGGAGAAGCAGGAAGCGCCAATGTTGAAGCTGGACAAGATAATGTGTGATGAAGATTGTCTACTGGAGAAGATTATATAATATTCCCAACCACCCCAAAGACAAATAAAGATCAGATTTATAAAGATAATGATTAAAAAAAAAAAAAAGAAACAATGTACTTGATTTACCTTGGTAGAAATAACGCTGGAGATTGCGTGATAGAATTTTGCAAGACCAACAACTTATTCATTGCAAATACCTTTTTTCAACAACACAAACTGTGGCTATACCCATGGACTTCGCCAGACGGAGTGCACAGGAATCAGATTGACTACATCTGTGGCAAGAGGTGATGGAGAAGCTCAGTGTCATCAGCCAAAACAAGGCCAGGAGCTGATTGTGGAACACACCATCAACTGCTCATATGCAAGGTCAAGTTGAAGCTGAAGACAATTAAAAGAATCCATGAGAGCCAAAATATGACCTTGATTATATCCCTCCTGAATTTAGAGACCATCTAAAGAATAGATTTGATGCATTGAACACCAGTGACTGAAAACCAGAGGAATTGTGGGATGACATCAAGAACATCATCCACAAAGAAAGCAAAAGGTCATTAAAGAGAAAGGAAAGAAAGAAAATACCAAAACAGATGTCAGAAGTGACTGAAACTTGTCCTTGAATGGAGAGTAGCTAAAGTGGATGGAAGAATCAACAGGATAAAAGAGCTGAACAGATTTCAAAGAGCAGTTCAAGAAGACAAAATCAGTTATAATGAAATGTGCAAAAACCTGGAGTTAGAAATAGAAAACCAAAAGGGGAGAACACACTCAGCATTTCTCAAGCTGAAAGAATTGAGGAAAAAATTTAAGCCTCGAGTTGCAATACGGAAAAATTCCATGGGCAGTATGTTGAATGATGCAGGAAACATCAAAAGAAGATGGCTGGAATACAGAGTCACTGTACCAAAAAGAACTGGTAGATGATCATCCATTTCTGGAGGTGGCATATGATCAAGAACCAATGGTATTGAAGGAAGAAGTCAAAACTGCACTGAAAGAATTGGCAAAAAACAAGCTCTGGGAATTGATGGAATACCCATTGAGATGTTTCAACAAATGGATGCTGTGCTGCAGGCACTCACTCGGTTATGCCAAGAGATTTGGAAGACAGCTACCTGGCCAACTGAATAGAAGAGCTCCATATTTGTACCCATTCCAAAGAAAGGTGATCCCACAAAATGTGGAAATTCTCGAACAATATCATTGATATCACACACAAGTAAAATCTTACTGAAGATAATTAAAAAATGGTTGCACCAGTATATTGACACAGAACTTCCAGAAATGCAAGCTGAATTCAGAAGAGGATGCGTAACAGTGGATATCATTGCTGATACCAGATGGATCTTGGCTAACAGTAAAGAATACCAGAAAGATGTTTACTTGCATTTCTATTGATTATGCAAAGGCATTTGATTGTGTGGATCGTAACAAATTGTGGATAACATTAAGAAGAATGGAAATTACAGAATACATGATTGTGTTCATTAGGAACCTGTACATAGACCAGGAGGCTGTCATTCGAACAGAGCAAGGGGATACTGCATGGTTTAAAATCAGGAAGGAAGTGCATCTGGGTTGTATCCTTTCACCCTACTTATTCAGTCTGTTTGCTGAGCAAATAATCTGAGAAGCTGGACTATATGAAGAAGAACATGGCATTAGGATTGGAGGAAGACTTGTTAACCTGAGATATGCAGATGACACAACTTTCGTGAAAGTGAAGATGATGTGGAACACTTACTGATGAAGATTAAAGACAATAGTCTGCCGTATGTCTTACACCTCAGTATAAAGAAAACAAAGGTCTTCACAACTGGATCAATAAGCAGCATCACGATAAATGGAGAAAAGATTGACGTTGTCAGAGACTTCGTATTACTTGGTTCTATAATCAGTGCCAATGGAAGCAGCAGTCAAGACATAAAAAGATATATTGCATTGGGAAAATCTGTTGCAAAATACCTCTTTGAACTGCTGAAGAGCAAAGTCCTTGAAGACTAAGATGCACCTAACTCAAGGCATGGTGTTTTCAATTGTGTCATATGCATGTGAGAGCTGGACAATGAATAAGGAAGATTGAAGAAGAATTGATGCTTTTGAGTTGTGGTGTTGGTAAAGAATGCTGAAAGTACCATAGACTACTAAAAAGAACTAACAACTCTGTCCTGGAAGAAGTGCAGCCAGAATGCTCCTTGGAAATGAGAATGACCAGACTTCGTCTCACCTACTTTGGTCATGTTATCAGAAGGGACCATTCTCTGGAGAAGGATGTCATGCTTGGTAAAGTGGAGGGTCAATGAAAAAGGGGAAGGTCCTCAACAATATGGATAGACACACTGGTTGCAATAGTGGGCTCAGGTACTGTAGGAATCATGAGGCTGGCACAGGACCGGGCAGTATTTCATTCTGTTGTACATAAGATTGCTATGAGTCAAGATGACTCAATGGCATGTAACAACAGCATATGACTTACATCAGAAACAACTTACAACAGAGTTGAAACACTGGAACCCCATTGTAAGTCTAAGACTACTTGTATAGGATGCCATTGTATAGTTAAGGAGCTCTGATGGTACAGTAGTTAAGCATTCGGGTGCTAATTGAAAGGCTGGTGGTTCAAACTCACCAGTTGCTCCACAGGAGAAGAATGTGGCAATCTGGTGCTGTGAGGATTTGCAGCCTTGGAAACACTATGGGGCAGTTCTACTCTGTCCTGTAGGGTTGCTGCGAGTCATAATTCAGCTTTACAGCAATGGGATGGACAGATAAGATCATGGCACAGTGGGTAACCTCTGGGCTGAAAGGTTGGCTGTTTGAATCTACCAGCTCTTCCACTGGAGAAAAGACCTAGCAATCTGGTCCCATAAAAGTTGTTGTTGTTATTGTGTGCTATCAATTTGATTCCAACTCATAGTGACCCATAGGACTGAGTAGAATTGCCCCATAGCGTTTACAAAAAACACCCCCCACACCCACTACCATCAAGTTGATTCTAACTCATAGCAACCCCATTTGGTTTCTAAGGCTTTAAATCTTCACAAAAGTAGATTGCCTCATCTTCTTGCTACAGAGCAGGTGGTGGATTTAAACCACTTACCTTCTGGTTAGCATCCAAATGCCTTACCCACTATGCCACCAGAAGTGCAATTTTTTTTTTTTTTTTTACTTTTAAATTGTGATTTAGGTGAAAGTTTATGCAAATTGGTTTTCCATTCAACAATCTATACACATTGTATTTTGTGACATTTACTGCAGTCCTCATACTGTAACAGCATTCTTCCCACTTCCTCCCTGTACCTGCCCCTTTTCTTTGTTCTTCCTTCCCATCACCTCGTCCCCTTCCTAGCTCTATTCCTGGGCAAATCCTGTCTTCTTGATCTCATCTGCTTGATTGTTGTAATGAGTATATACCTTCCTGGTGCTACTATTCACCTTGTCTCGCTCTCACTGCCATTGAGTTGGATCCGACTCATGGAGACCCCTCCTTGGCTTTCCGAGGCAGTATCACTACCGAAGTAGATTGCCCAACCTTCCCTCTGAGGAGTGGCTCGGGGGTTTGAACTGCCAGTCTTCTGGTTAGCAGTCAGATGCCTCAGGCACTATGCCACTTTATAGGTCTATCATTTGGCTGTCAATTGAGTCATGGGGTTAAGTTCTGTTCCTAGCTTGAAAGGTGTTTAAGAACCATAGTCTCAGGAGTTCCACCAGTCTTCATTAGACCAGTAAGCTTGGTCTTTTTTATGACCAAAATTCAAAGCTTTGTTCCAAATTTTTCCCTTACTACTCCATCCAGGAACTCTTACTGTGATCTCTTTTTGAGTGATTTGTGGTGATATCCAGGCACCATCTAGTTCTTACGGTCTTTGGTTTGTGGAGGGTGGGATTCCCAGGTTTCATTAGTCCTTTGAACTAATTGTCTCCTGTGTCTTTTATTTTCTTTACTCTTCTTTGCTCTGCACAGGGAAAGACTGATAGCTGCCCCTTAGATGGCCACTCACAAGCTTTTAATACCCCAGTTGTTATTTACCAAAGTAGGATGTAGGACATTGTCTTTGTGGACAATGTCATGCCAGTTGACCTTAATGTGCCCCGAGACTGTGGTCCTGAGCCTCCATACCCAGTGACTCATCCCTCAAGATGTGTGATTATGACTAAGATTTGTCCCCTCTGTGTTCTACTCTACTCATGTATATAATAGCAGCATATATAAATATGTAGAGGAGATAGCCTCTGTCAAACCTATATGGGTATAATCCACATTTGTCCTCTCACCTCTGCTCAGCTTGAAAGTCTATCTATGCACTTAACTCCTAAGTTATTATTACTATTACTGCAGGGTTGTGAATGTAGTAGTATTTGTTAATGCTTGCGCTTCTCCCTATCTCTTCCACTAACCTTGATCATTCTATGCTGACCTCCCCTTCATTGTGTATTGACAAGGCTGCAGTCTTTTATTTTTTTTAAATCCCCTCCTCCTCGTCATGCCATTCTAATGCAGCAACCCCCTAGCCCTGCCATTTAGCTCCTTTCCTTCCCAGACCCTGCATAGCTCAGGCCTGTAGCTGCATGGGGCTGTGCCCTTGGAAATCTCTCTGGATGCCCACATAACAACACAGGGGTCCAAAGAAATCATATTGATGTACCCCTGATGGGGAGCATTTTTACTTTTATGATTTTAAATAAATACATGAAACAAAAGGGCTGCAGTCTTTATGGAAACAGATTGCCGTGCCTTTTTCCCACTGAGCAGTGGCTGGTGGGCTCAAACTATGCGCCTTTCTATCAGCAGCCAAGTGCTTAACCACTTTGCCAATAAAGCTCCACTTGTAAAATTATAGCCTGGGTAACCCTGTTGGACAATTTTATGCTGTCATATTGGGTTGCTCTGAGTCAGAATTGACTCAGTGGCACACATCAATTGTGTATTTACATGTCAGAGTAAATTTTGGGGATTTATGTTTGTTTAGTGTTAGCTTTTATGTCATTTAATACTTACTCATTTACTCTTTTTCACTCTTACCGTTTTAGGCACTTGCTGGGCTCATCACCGTTGTGTGGAGTGGTCGCTGGGAATATGCCAGATGGAAGAACCATTATTGGTAAATGTGGACAAAGCTGTTGTCTCAGGGAGCACAGAAGTAAGTGGATGTAACAAGTGTTTAGATGTTTTATAACATTTACTCTGTAGTTGTGTGCAATTGAGTTGATTCTGACTCATAGTGACCCTTTAGGACAGAGTAGAACAATAGCCACATAGGGTGTCCAAGGATGTATTTTTTTTTTTTTTTAA